TGTACAGTATGTCGCTTTAGAAACTTATTACAGTATAAACAAACAACTTTAGGCCTAATAAAATAATTATAGTTTATCACATATCTGGACTGGAAAAGTGTTGAGGGAGGGGGAGCTTTATATTTTTGTTTTTTATTTTTCTAAAGCCAAATATCATTCTTGGGTTGTTTGCTGATGCATTGATATTCAAAGTAAAATATACATGATTTAGATAATGCAAACAATATCTATTAGTATTACCAGTATTTGCTTAAAAAAGGTAAAATGAATGAAAACAAAATTTTTGAAAGTTAAAAAAAAAAATATTTTCTTCAATACTATAGAAGATATGTGGGTGAGGGTGATAAACTAATCATTTTTTTTATTGGGCCTTATACATTATAAATAATTTTTATATAATAAAGAGTATCACAATATAATTGTTGTGAAAATATGTGTAGACAGGTTACTATATTTGTATTTTTAAAACCTTTTCAATATTAAAAAATAATATTTGCTGCGAAGCAGCCAATTTATATTCTTGACAGCAATTTGACCTCTGAAAGGTCATTGTTTGTCAAAAAACGAGGGTCTAAGACAACTGAAAGCTGAGTTTCCTTCTTTCGTTCTGCCGGGTAAAATCAATTACTGTAGGCGACGTTTGTAGACTAACCTACTCGTACCTACCAACGTCCGCATGTCGCGACGCTGGAGTATTACTATTCAGCGTTGCTACTATATTTCTAGGTTTCCTATTTCTACGTTTAATCGGCCCATGTCTCAGCCACAATATTTTGAGGCCAATATTATTTACGAACCCAGTTAAACTTATTTACTAGCCTATTTCAACGTGCTAATTATTACATTTAGGCGACGCTTGTTGTAGACTGGCATACACAGTGTTTTCGGAAATAAATACCATTTTATACACATGCGCAGATCGATTCGCCAGCAGCGAGTCATCGCCAGCAGCAGCGAGTCGCCAGCAGCGAAATGTCCCTGCAGCAAAACACTATTGTACACGGTACCAACGCTGTTCTAATATAGACAATGGGTCGTGTCTCATATTATTTGTTATATTTTTATTATTCGTTATTTTCACTTGACTCGCATAAATAATTTTGTTCGAAGAACATTTATATGCAGTTGTACTTCACAGCACTTCATTTGCAATTTCTAGTTTAGTTCTTTAGTTCTTGTTTTCTTTCCATATCTATTCTATGTTAGTTAATTCATTGGAAGATGTAATGATGTGTATAGTATTCTACCTGTCTCAGGTAAGTCACTTGATCATGTGACCACCATGCTATGTTTGCAAGTCCCTGCTGCTGCTTCAAGAAATCTTGGACTGAACCATTTATGTTTGGGGGACAGTGACATTTCTTGAAGGATGGGACAAGTGACTATTCAGATGGCAAACTGATTATGTATTATTTAATGCAGCAGTACCTTGGAAAGTGGAGGTTATTGACAGTGCTTATTGGCATGGCATTGTTATACTTGTGAGTAAGGATGAAACCATTTCAACAAAGGGGGGATATTATGCTAATAAAGTTAGGTTGAAACTATTATTATAAAGGGTACGTCGATACAATTTCAGAGAGGAATCCGATAATTTATTGTGAATTGGTAAATAATTTTTGCCTGTGATATTTTTTAATGATGATATCGTTTTTTACATTTAAATATGTTTAATTCATAACTTTCAAGAAGAAAAATCCAAACTGTTTTCATTTGTAATTCTTTATTTGTTTTAAGTCCTGTCAATGCTATCAAATTTCCTTTGACAAAAAACTGTTGTATTCCCATATAAAGTTATGATGTGTCTATATATGGTCATGATGAGATGTTATCATGATCATATTTAGGTTTGTCAGATAAAAGTTCATAGGCTCGACAGGGGTTAAGTAATGTTCGCTGCAGGAATAGTAAGGTCTGTGTTGCTAATTTTTCTTTCCCTATCCCTAACCCCCAACCTGGTTTCCCAACCCCTATCCAACATTCCCGAAACTTGATACACCTCAAACAGAATGAAATGCATTGAAGTAGGACTTTGTTTTAGATACGGTAAAAATGATTTTTTATTTTTTAATGTAGTAGAATGCAATAATTGCTCTATGAATTTCCCTTTCAGATGTATCAGCCCTCATGTCTACAAATTTATACAAATTATATTTTTTCTCAATTATTAAAATGATTGACAGGTCCATTTAACTGTCAATTAACTTTAACTCACAGTGAACTGGTAGCACTTTAGTTTAGAAGTAAAAGAAATAAATAGTCTCCCTATAAAAGTACAAATGTAATATAACTACTACACAATGTAAATAATATATAAACTGCTATTTAATTTAATTTTGACCATGGCTACTACTGTAGTACAATAGAACTTTTTGAAGTGTCAATCAAGCTTAACAACTGAACAGTCAAGACATGTTGCTTCCAAGAATAAGCTCACGTCTCTCAAATACAAATTTACACTTTATAAGGTCCCAGGCCATTGCAATCGTGTCCAAGAGGGGGTGGGGGTGGGGGTATATTTAAGATATTTAATCAGAAATTCATCAGCTAAATTATTGCAACGGAAGCAACATAACACAAAGTTTTTGGTTGTATTGAAAAATTGAACCTAGGACATTAAGATTTGAAATTTTGTCACCTTAACCACCTAACCACAACTACCCTCAATTTACAGTATACATACTGATAACCTATAACACTAATTATTTATGACGATGGTAAATAATCTATGATGATGGTGACTCTAAGATGACGACACAGAAACAGAGGGCCTGTGACGCAGACGTCCGTGATGACAACGGCGATGGCGATGGCGATGATTGACAACGATGATGACGACTTATAGATGAAAGTTTGTCAAACAAACAAGCAATCAGGCTACTGTTAACATGTTATAGAAATTAAGTTCTAGGCCCCCTTGAGACGCAGATGACGTAAGCCAATAAGCTCATCAAATATGCTTCAACAGCAAGGCCAGCTAAATTACCTTGCCGTATCTGATCAATGTAGCTTCTCTTGATGACCAGTAACCTTCAGGTTTTGCTACTTATTTGTCCTAATGTACAGTACTTTGATTGGAAAAATATTTGTTTTGCAATTTGCATACCGATTGCATTCCATTTATCAAAATGATTGAATTTGTTCTTTTATTAAGAATAAATTTTTGTATTTATTTAGCACTTTCGCTTTCGTCACAACATCTCAAAGCGTACAGTTTTTTTGTAATATTTCTCGGAAAAAATGCATTTCAGGTAGAAGACTTATTTATGTAGACGTACAGATTACAAGTAGAACTGTCTATTGTCTTTCATTTAGGAATTGTATGTTAGTTATTATTGAATATTATATTTAAAGGTGTTCCCATTTATATTGCCACTTCGTCACAACCCATTTTGATTATTCTGACATACCGTAAAACCAATGGGCTTAATCTCGAGAAGAAGCCCATCTTGAACTGAAGCCCCTGCTTTAGTGTGCAATGACTAGCCTCAAAAAGAAAGCCTATCTGGGGACTTCTTTTCAAGATATTACAGTACATATACTGTACTTGTACATGAATTTCAAAGAAACAAAATAAATTCAAAAAATGCTTGGTTTATATGGTAGTTTAGGTGATTTAATGCTGGTTAATACACTCCATGATAAAGACCGATGTTTCAATGGCCCTATTTATCATTTTATTATAGTAGTAATTCCCAAAATTTACAGCATTCATTTTGAAACGAAACCCCCCCCCCTCCTCTTTACTTTGCAAAAGTGGTGTCGAAAAGAAGCCCATCCAAAGTATGCAAAAAAAAAAAGCAATGCAGCAGAATGCAGCAGCACAGGGCTTCTAGTCAAGGTTTAACAGTATTTTTTTTTTTTTTTTGACATATAATTTACTGATACTTATTGATGTAGTAGTAATAGTTATAATTTTGGAGAAAAATATCTCCTAAAAAACGTTTCGAAATGGAAATGAGATATTGTTGGCCATATGCCTGTGTGATGTGTTTGTAACCTACACCCACTTGCCTCAAATTTTAGAACTATTTTTGAAACCAAACCATATCATTTAAAAAAATATATTACTCTAGAAAGATAATGAGCTTCGAAGATATGCATTATAAAACAAAAAACTACAGAAGCTTTTGCTTTACAAAATACAGATATTCTGCACACTGACAGATCACATCCTTGGCAGAGATCTGGCTTTGTCTACAAAGTCCATTTCAGACAGTGTCTGTAATACTGTCAACATTGCGGTAAGCATGCGCGCCAGCCTAAGAGCTGCCTGGCTGGAGGGGCAGCAGTGTAAATGCTGTCTTAGTTGTTGAGGAGTACTTATGTTTGTTATTACAGTATAAATTCAGTATAATTATAATGTTAGTTTGATTCAAGTTCGGTTGAAATGCTAGTTCAAAAATGTAAAATCAGATAAAGGAGTCGTAAAATAACACGATGATCATAAAGTGTCTATAAACTATGTCTGCAAAATCATCATTAAATTAATAATTGAGGCTGTCTGCATTTTTTTTTAAATTTAACTTTTTTTTTGTCATCCTAATTTTGTTGTCAACTCTGTCACTATTTCTGAAATGGATGGACACCAGCTAGTAATTGTGTAATTGTCATTTCCTATGTGTGCCCTATCCTTGGTCGCTAATTTCCTTGAGCAGAAAAGGCTTTTCCTGTTCGCGTGAATGAAAAGTCTACAAAACAACTGTTCTGTCATTAGTCTACAGAAGGATACGCCGTGTTCAGACAGGTGTAAATTTAAGCAACGTATGACAGGTCCAGTACCCATGACATACAGTACCCTCTATAAAGCTTGCCTTTTGCGTATTATCATCGTGTAGGCCAAGTTGTTGCTAGTTGGCATCCAAAGACCTTGTTGTTGGCACATTTACAATATACAATAGAACTTTAGCCAGCATCTATTTATAACGTTCTAGATTTGAATTATGCTGCTGTTGTTGTTTGTTTATTGCTAAATCTGTCATTTTGTTTGATATTCGTAGCATGGGGAATCGTCAAGGCAAGACCTCATCCAGTAATGTTGACCCACATAAAGGGAAAGGGCCTGCTCCGAAACCAGAGCCAGCGCCGCCTGCTGTCGAGCCCAAACCGGTTAAGCAGAAGCCTGTAGAGCAACCACCACCACCTCAGCAATTACCACCGCCCAAGATTGAGCCTGTTCATGCTCCAAAAGAGTGCTTGCCTAGCTTGGAAAATTACAGAGAAGATGTGCAGAAATTGTTGTTTGGACAGTTGGGCTTTGTCAAAAGTTGGCCCAAACCAAGAATGATTCGCATGTTTATCAGTGCTGTTGCAGTTGGTAAGTGGTGATCATTAGAGTGGAGTTCAGTAGCTTAGTGGTTAAGATGTTTGTCTTTTAATCCTGAGGTCCTGGGTTCAATTTCTGTGACAGCAGAATCTTAAAAATATAAAGAAAATAAATAAAATAAGTTTTTTTTTAAAACTAAGAAGTAGTTATTTTATGGTTGGTGCTGCCTGTCATATGCAAGGATTATCAAATTTCATTTTTTTTCCCCGTTATTTGATACTAATATTACAACTTGTGATATTAATTATACAATTAATTTGATAGAAAATATTAATTGTTCATGCTTTCTAGAATGTAAATATAATGTTTTAATTAAAATTAATAATTAATTAGAAATATATATGAATTGAATAGTAATGTTGACAAAAGCTATTTCTTTGAAAAATAGTTTGTATCATCTTGTACCGTATTATCATCATCAGTGTTATTCCCCTAGATTCGGATTTAGAAAGAAGCATTTTCTGGAACAATATCTATCCTACATTGCGATCTCACTGCTCTGAGGTCGGCTACGAATTTCTGGCCATTGACCCAAATGAAGGAACCTGGGATAATCTCATACACGACAAAAACACCCACGATATTTGCTCAAGTGTGATCCGTGAATGCCAAGCAAAATCGACTGGTCCTAACTTTCTGGTAGGTAGCCTTGTCTGTAGCCTTGCACGTAGTGGTAAAATTCTGAACTTTGATATGTGTCAGATTTAAGTGACCCTTCCTTTATATGCCATCCACCTACTAATTAGCCATTAGTAAGCTATTAGTTAGCTTCATAAACTATAGTGTGCATCTAAAGCTATCTTGTTACATGCCACACTGTTTACTTGATTTAAACCCAGGCTCTGGATTAAAAAATGTTTTGATATGTTGTAGAACTGATTGTTGTAGATGTTGTTGATAATTGAAAGGTGAAAAGAAGGGTGGTTACGCCCCTTTCCCCCCCCCCCCAGTTTTTAAATGTTAAAAAAATCTGTATCTCCTTAACCGCTTCTGTGTTTTTTTGTCAAATATGCTTTTTGTGTCTCAGAAAAAATCAGTTCTACAACACATCAAAACATTTTTTCCCTCCCTGAGCCTGGTTTTAAAATGGCATTCTGGAAGTATCTGTCAAGTTAACATCAATGATAAGAAAAAGAGAGATGCTTTTTTCTGTGACACAGAAATATAATAAATTGATTATCACTGAAATATGTATTAAAGAGGCTAGTAAGGATGTACTATCAGTCATGAGGCAAAAAAAAATTGAAAATTGATTAACTTGAAATTAAAAATGTATTAGTCTCCCTCCAATTAAAGACCAGTTTGAGAACAGGATTTTCTGGTCTTTAGCAGCTTTGTTCTCTAATTAGAATAATAAAGATAATTTGGGACCATAGAAAGTGGTCTTTAATTGGAGGTGGTCTTTTTTAGATGGGTCTTTAATTAGATGGAGACCGGTAATAATATTCTTGTATTCTTTAGCATAGATCTTTAAAGGGGTCATTCATAATTTTTGAATTTTTCAAAAGAGTACAAAATGTACTCTTTTCTGTGACCCCCTTCTTCCTACCAAAAACATAATAAAATGTTGATTTGTGTCATTTTGAGATCAACATTTTTTCTTTTTCATAAAAGAGTACTTATGCCTACATTTTCAACCCTCTGCCCCTAAAGCGTATGTTTTGTACTCTTTTGAAAATGTTAATGATTATGGATGGCCCCTAATCAATATTTGATAACAAACCTCTCAGTCTACTCCTAACAAGTATTCATTTGCAAATTTATTCAATTTTCTTATAGTTATTTTTAAATCAGAAGCATGACCGCTGCATCTGCCCACTGAAGATTCGCTCCACTGCATTTGACCGATTGCAGAAGAAGGTCGATGAAGAACAAAAGGCGTTAATTAACCGTTACTACTATGATGACACCAATGCCATTCCCCAGGTCCACATTTTACAACCACCGCACGAATCATGCGAAGATTATGCTAATTGGCCAGCCACGAAGGAACGTATTTGTTCGATCATGCGAAGTTGCTGGGGCAAAGAAGAAAAAGATATTTACATGGCATCAGGTAAGAAAATATTATCAATGGTTAAAGTTGCAATTCCATGTGCTGCCATCACAATTTATCTGAGCCTACAATTTTGCTGTTAACCATTAGATTTTTTTTAAAAACTAACTTAAGCGTTTAGCTGAGAGTTAAAGTTCCTACTTGTTGCGCTGAAGACCCTATTCAAATCTGGCTAGCGTATGGTTTTAAGTGGAATCTGATTGCTCGGCTCTGCCTAACCTTCGTATGAGAGTTATGCTGGATAAGGGACAATTTATCCGTTACATGTCACTGCTGAGCGCACACATATGGCTGGTTCCCAGCCAAAAATTCCAATTTAAAATAACAACAAACGAAAAAAAGAATTTTTTTTTTTAATTGTGCTCTTCCATTATAGATATTGAGATGGAGGTGAGTGACGGAATCTTTAGTCCCACCAGTATTAAAGAAGGTATGGTTTGGGTGCACAGAGTTCTTGATGACATCGACTCTACCGACAACGTTGCATGGAAGTATCTTGATCTCGTCGGGGACTCCAAGGAACCAGACGAGCATTCTCAAGAACAGCTGAGTCAACTAACTCGTCGTTTAGCAGAGCAGGTTATTGAATCACATTTCATAAAGGTAAGCCTCGTTGGTTTGACTAAAGCTGGCACTTATTACGCCCAACGGGCGTTGGTCGATGCGATTCTATGAAGAATGCAACGCAACAACCCGTGCGCAGCAGATCGTTTTTAATAGTGATCTGTTTAGACTGCCACCGATAGTCAACAAACAGCGTCGTCTCTACCGCTCACAGAGAGCAGAGTTGCGTTCGTATGACGAATCCAACAAGGATGCAGTGGGTGCCCGGCTTTGATGTGACGGGATTGGTTTTTAAACACTCGTTTATGTTTTTCAATCCTCAGATCATCAAAAAATTTTTAATTGTATGTTCCGCACACCGCAACATTGAAGTTTTAAAAAAAATTAGTGGCAAAACAGGGGGTATGTGTTACTTATTTGCATCCGAGCTGCGAGTCTTTAAAATAATGAACATGATATTTTTTTTGATGAAATTATTTTATATTACTTGAGGCCCAGTAAATGAGGCAAAATTGGTATAGCTTGATATACTAGACTTACAGGTTTAATCTATTGAGTCTAATTACTAATGTGCGAGTTGTTAGAAGTCTGTTATTGTATTTTTGCAGTTGAGGGTTCCTTGGAAAGAAGGAGGCCTATCTCCTGAGACTCATAAAGATCATGAACAATATGTTGAGGCATTGAAATCGACATTATTAAAGCAGCTCCTAGAAATTATTGATAAATCCATTGCTGAGAAGCAACGAATAGATGAGGAGATGCAAGTGAAAAGTAAGTTGTGTGTAGTATTTTTATTATTCATAAGCTAATAGAAAGTTTATGTAAATTATTTATAACTGACATTTGATAAAATCCGGGAGACTATTGTTGTATGTGTTTCTGTCTTACTAATTACATGATACTTTAGCAGATCAAGATATTTGAAATAGTAGGGCCCAGCGTAAATTTTACAGATAGATGGTGCAAACCTCCTTAATCCCATCCCGGCCAGTAATTCCAATCAATAAATTTAAATGTACTTTTCTCCTCCTAAGTTAAATTACAATTCGATTTTTAAATTAATTGTTTCACTTTATTATCATAGAAATTAGTAACAGATTGTTTGAAGAGATCCAGCATCACATTTTCATCGCTCAACGCCACTGTAAGAATTTTGTTGGGCAAGGAGATATTCTGGAAGACCTGAAGAACCATTTGACAAGTGATTCTAAACAGGTGTTGCTCTTACATGGTGCTAGCGGTAGTGGCAAGTCAGCCTTAGCTGCAAAGATTGCCAAAGTGTGCCAGCGAGATCCCATGGCTTGCGTTTTACGATTCGTTGGAGCATCAGCGGCATCTAGCAACTTGAACTCTGTACTACAGAGTGTTTGTGAACAACTTGCACACATATACCAAGAACATGTGTCTATTGCTTATAAAGTAAGTGGATAATAATAATAACTTTATTTGAAATTGACACTCTGCATCAGTGGCACACGCTATGCAGTGCTTTCACAATAAAACAATACAATCCAGTCTTTAAAACATTACAATGAAAATTTAAGACCTTGTAAAAACATGGTACAAACATAGCACAAGGCCAAAAGTGTTAGTATAGCAATCAATAGAAAAATATATAACAACTATTTCACTTTATAAAAATAAAGACTTATTTACAAAACTGGTTTACTTATTTTTCATTATTACACTAACAGTACAAAATATATATAAAACCTATTACACATTTTAAAATAGAAAGATATATAAAAACTATTACACATTATGAAAATAAAGACTTATTTACAAAAAATTGGTAACGTTTTTTTTTTTTTAGACAAAAACATGTTGTGTCTGTAAAGTAGACATTCAAAAGCAAAAAATAAACTTAACCTACCTTGAACTTTGAGTGAGTGGTGGCACTTGACTCATGATGCCCTCCTATTTTGTTCTTCACTAGTACCGTGACCTGATTTTGAGCTCTAGTTCACTTTTCTGGAGGCAGTTTGTCTGTCTCTTTGGTGGCCTTCCTCTGTGTTTGGTCGCCTGGATGTGACTGAGGGTATGCTCACACACACGGCGTAAGGCTGGCGTAAGCCTGGCGTAGTGTACGCCTTTGTGTGTGAACTAGGCAGTGGCGTTACTTACGCCACTGACAATGCCACATCTGTGGCGTTATTAACGCTACCTGCAGACCCCAGATTAGTTAACGCAGTGGAGCTAACGCCAGTGATGCTTGAATGATTTGACCTCATTTCTATAGATTAGTTACTTCTTGATCTCTTTTCTGTGCTCTCTATAAATGAAATGGTAAAGGGGTACTTTTTCTATTGCATTTTACTTAGTTTACAATGTATATGATTTGTTGTTTGTGTTTTGTAAGATATTTTAACCTATTTAGACTGTCTATTAAAACCTGCAACACCAACGATTGTTCCACTATGCTAGCTGAAAAATCAGAAGTAAAATTGTTCATTTAAAATACAATAATCGCTTGTATAATAATCATTAAACACTGTAAATATTTACTACAGTTAGGAACCTGTACATTATTTAAAACTAAAATCTATTCCCCCATAGGCCTATATTACTACTAGTTTAACGCCAGCGTTAATCGAACGCTGTTTGTGTGAACACTTTGTAATTTTAATCCGTGGATTAGCTTACGCCGGCGTATGCTACGCCAGTCTTACGCCGTATGTGTGAACATAACTTAAGTATTCAGAGAATGTTGCCCCAAACATTTAATATTTGTTTGTTGTTTTGTCAGTAATTAATATGTTCTTTTCTGTTTAGGGTGCTGATAAACTTGGCAATGTTTTGTCCCAACTACTAAAGAAGGTATCACCAGAGCGACCAGTTTTGATCATTCTCGATGGACTGGAGAGATTCGACCTAGACATCTCTTGGCTCCCTACCACTCTACCATCCCACGTTAAATTATTATTAACCTGCACAAGTTCAACGCAAACATATGATAAAATAAAGGTAACTCTAATTTACAAAACTGGTAATTAGTTTCATTAATTGTAGTAACCAATGTAAATTTATTTTCTTAATCTTGTTTGGGAGTTAAATGCCTGCTAGATGCATTAAATGTTTGGCCAGCCATTCCAGAGTATTAATCAAACTTAACCAGCAATCAGAAAAAATTATTAATATCGGCAGGGCCAGGAAAATTTGCGATTGGGTTTGCAATTGGTAGAGTGAGTGCATATTAACTCAATCATAACATGTACATATTTTTGAATATAATTCACTAATAAGCAATTTATATAGTAATTTTTCATGTACTATTTTGAAATAATTGCACAGAAGAGTCATTAGTGCATGAAAAATAGATGTCTCAAATCATAAATTTAAATTAACACATTTTTTTTTTTTTTTTCTCTAGTCCCATCTAGGTAAACAGGTTACGGAATTGGATATCCCTGGATTAGACGAGAAAACAATGAAAAATTTGATAGAACGTCGTTTACATTCAAAGGGCAGAACATTAAATGATGAACAATTTACATTTTTAAGCAACAAGTTTGAAAAACAACCACTGCCGTTGTTCTTACACATGGCCTGCTATGAGGCAAGTCGTTGGCATAGTTTTACACCAAGCAATGAACTCAAACTACAGGCTAGCCCCAAAGCCCAGGGCGAGGCAATGTTTGAAAGCCTAGAGAAACGATATGGGCGGACTTTAGTATCGTGTGCTATGGGACATTTTTGTGCTGCTAGGTACGGACTCTCTAATGTTGAGATGAATGATATATTGTCGAGTAATTCCACACTTTTAAAAGATTTGAAAACTGAGCGTTTACCAACGTTGCTTTGGGAAACTATACTCTTTGAATTGGAACCATTTATTCAAACAAATATTAATAACAGTATTTGTTTACGTCAGTTTTGTTACCCAGTCATTCTGGAGACTGCAAAGAAACGTTATTTGGACACAAATGAGAAACAATTAGCTCTCCATTCCAGTTTGCGTAATCACTTTTTAAAACAACATGATACGTGCGGAAAAATGCCAAATATTAGAAGAATGCAGGAATTACCATACCATGCCTTTAAATGCGGAGACAAAAAGTTCAGTGACGTTTACATTTGGGACCTAGAGTGGCTTAGTACAAAGCTTAGTCACTGTGGAGTCTATGAGGTACTTGAAGATATTTTGTTAGGTCTCCAATCTTATCCCAACGATTTGGATCTCAAACTTTTACAAGATGTGCTGCAAGTCTCGGCCTATGCGCTTGTTTGCGACGGCCTTCAATTAATTCCTCAGATTCAGCAAAGACTGGGCGATATGTTAAAAGGACAACAAAACAAATACCCTCGTATGATTTCTCTGTGCAATATGGCCAACCGGCCACCTTTTTCAAATTTTTTGCCCTCTAACATATGTTTGCTACCGTTAAATAGTTCAGAAAGGTTAGAAACCTCGCAAGGGTGTGACCTCACCGCTATATTTCGTATAAAGGGTGATGACAAGCATATGGTTTCTGTATCGAGTGCTAAAGGAGAGGTGTCTGTTTGGAATGTTGCAACGCAAAAAGCTGTGCGTACATTGACAAATGTTGATAAACCGCTCAACATACATTGCATAGATAGGTACAAGGTAATCATCTTGTGTAATCGTGTGCTCAAAATATACAATCTTGATACCGGTGAATTAGAAACCAAATTGAAAGGAACAATGAACATTCAAATGCCGTACTTTGCTTTGCATGATGAAGAGCATGTTGTAGCGTTGTCTCGGAATCGTATGACTGTTAATATTATAAAGCGGTCTACGGGTGATGTTGTTTCCACTTTCAAGGTCGGAGAAGATCGTTTCCTGAACAGTCTGTTGGTCAGTGAAAATGGCGAGAAGTGCGTCTGTGGGGATGAAACCCAAAAGCCGAGCCCGCTTTTAGTGTGGGATTTGAACAATCGTAAGCTTGTCCATGATCTACGCATCCCGCAGCACGAGTTTATCACAAAGATGTCATCAATATCCAACGATGGGCACTACGTTGTTTGTGTCATTAAGGTTAGTAGTGCAGGTCAATTGCAGGTCAAAAAGTGCAGGTCAAAAATATATAACTTGTTTAGAAATAATAAACAGTTCATTGTTCTACTACTACAGTTCGCCCTACAGTTTGGGACCACCTTTGACCTCAGGCTAAAAAAAATGTTGGGTAGTCTCGGGGTTCGGTCTTAGAATTAGAGTGATAGCTGTGTGTTAATAGATTAACAACAGTAGTTGGTATTTTAAAAAAGTGGTCCCAAATTAGAGGGGGCTGGAACTGTATTTATTCTTGTGCACAATAAAAATGATGAACGGTATATTTACAAACTAATACTTGAAAAATAAAAGGTTTCAAAAGAAACATTCTATTGCAACTTATTACTCCACGAGTGAATGCTCCTAAACTCTGGAACTCTCTGCCCCCACAATTTCGTATCATCTCTGATCCTGAATTATTCAAATCCAGTCTTAAATCCTTCCTTTTCAAATACCTCAACTTCTTTCTAACATCTTCCAGCACCGGTGATAAGCCAGTTTTTCTGCTTTAATATGCATTTTAAAAATGTGTGTTATTATTGTTGTTGTTGTTGTTGTTGTTGTTGTTGTTGTTGTTGTTATTATTGTTATTATTATTTTTTTTTTTTTGTGTGTACTTTATACAGGAGCTCGGCGATTCTAGCCCCAACTTTGTGATAGTTTACGATCTTCAGAGCGGGCAGTTGTTTAAAAAGTGGAAGCCTCACTGTAACACGACAGCTGTGTTTGTATCAGTAGAAGGTGGCTGTGTTGTGAATGCACTGGAGGATAGCAGCTTGATTGTCTGGGATTTATCATCAGGAGGCAGCAGGTAAACACTAAAGCTCTATCTAGGATATTAAACTGTTGTATGCCCATATATAGTCATGATGTGCCTATATTTGGTCATGATATGATGTCATCATGACCATATTTAGGCATTTCACATGTTTTTGTCAAATAAAATTTTATAGTTAAACTGGGCACACTACGTCCGACGGTCGCCGGCCAATGCGATTCAATGGAGAACGCAACCAATCAAATTTAATGACAATCCATTCAGACTACCATCGACAATCAGCAGACGGTGTTGCGTCATCTAGAGCTCACAGAGAGTGGAGTTTGTCTTTAAATAAACAGAAATCTTAAACCGAGAAATATCCTAAACTAACAAAAGCCAAACAGGCAAAGAGACAAAAAGAAGACAGCATAAGGAACCAGTGTCACTGCTCCGTTGTCCAGCACTTTGAGGCCCTATATAAGGTAGTTGAGTAAAGCCTGCTTTCTATGAAATCTCTACATGGTACCGTTGACACCTTTTGAGGACGTTAATTGATGGTTCAAATTGGGAAGCCTTTCCGATTGTTTTTTTGAGACAGTTATACAATGTAGTGTAGCAATTTTATGGAAACCATGCTTAACTAGGAGAGTAGTGTAGCTGCAGCCCTCATCATCATCGTTATTGTTAATAATATTACTTTTATTTTCATTATTGCAGGCATACTTTACGTGGACACACAAACCCTATTGATAGCATCTACCTTTCCCAGGATGGAACTCGTTGCTTAACATTCGACAGTTCACAAAAAGATCGTACAATACGTGCCTGGGACTTGCATAGTGGTAGGTTCAGTCCCTTTGATTTATTACTAGTTAAATCTATGTTGTGTACAGAGATTTTATGCCTTTGTTGTTTTCTGATGAGTATGTGTTGTTATGGTACAGTGGTAAGTTATCAGGCTTCAAGTTGATAAGTCATGGGTTCAAGCAGGTGCAGTCAGTTTGGTTTGTCCTTGTTAGCACTTCACCTACATTTTTTTTTTCAGTAGTGTAAATAGGTACTGAGTATGAAGCAGATAATTTGGAGTGGAATAATATTAATGATATGCTAATCATGCCAACAAGGTCTATAAACTTTATTATTACCTTTTCATTGAGTCCAACACTAATCAACACATACTCCACACTCAGGGAAGAAATTTATATCAAATTTTAAAATCGTAGAAATAAATTAATATTTTTATCCTCATTAGGTCAACGGCTTGCAAGTTTTACCCCTGATGAGCCGATCAGCTGCTGTCAAATCTCCGCTGACGGATCCTGTGCTGTGATTGGTCTACCAAGTCAGAACACCATCGTCACGCTCTGGATCCGAAATAAAGATTCTGCGGATATTCCCACAGAGACAAGTTCTTACGGCGACTCTGCACTTAACGGCAAAGTGTATAAGCTGGGAGAATAAGACTTGGTTTACATGCAGGGTTTTGTTCCAATGCACAGTGTGGGATGTGAATGCTAGTGAGCCCTCGCCTGATGTGAGTCAGGCCCTCTCTCTGAGCCAACCTGTATTGTAGGTGAATGCACCTTGATGCTTGTACATATAGATCTTATAGATCCCCATGTACAAATTCATGTTAGTTGACAGTGGCTGTGGCGTTATTAGTGTCATCTAGTTATTGTGGTGGTTTCAGCATGCTCTTGTTACGTGAACGTGCCAAAATTATTCATATTTAGGTATTCAAAGACTGCTCCTTATCATGTTTACTGTGTCATATTGTCAAGATATATCCAAGAAAAAACATTTTTTTAAATGCAGATTTATTAATCAATTATATTTAATTATATCAATTATATGTATTCAAAAATATGCATTCAATTAATGATATTCAAATTCAAATTTATATTGACCAATCTTAATTCATTTGGATGATATATTGACCAATCAGAATTCAATGAAAGGAGATACTGACCAATCATTAATCATGGAAAAGATATATTGACCATTCCGAATTTATTTATTTTCTACTATTTATTCATTGCTGATGTATTCTTTTCAATAAATATATTGACAAATCAGGATTATTTAAAGATATTTATTGACCAATCAGATTATTATTAAAATGGGCATTCTTTAATCATGCTTTAATCATAACTAATGTATTCTGTTAATCATAAAAAATCTATAGATGCGTAGGAGGAATTTATTTTTTATTAACTCAATAATTCAACAGTGCATCTTATTAGTTTGGCTATACATCGTCAGTATTCATTATTAACGTAGAAAGAGCTAAGCTCTTTGTTGAATGTTGTCGGGGAGATCGTTTGATCGGTGACGCTGTATCTTGGACATAACTTGACATTTAGACTCGGTATCATAAAGTTGAGCTAGGCTTTTGATAACAGTATTCCAGTGTTTGTATTCAAGTGTCTGATTAAATATAAATCAGTTTCAGAGCTTTGTACACATAACATGTGTATGAGCTCAATGTTGTGTATTATAGTGACTAATATTTAAGCTTCGTAATAAGATTTGTCATTAGTAAAAATAAATAGCTCATTAGAAACTAAGTCACTTTATAATCAGGAAAAATATGATAGGCTGAAAATAGATTGCATAAACAATATGATATTGCAGCATTATCAATTTGATTACGGTTAATTTTAGTGATTATTATAATAATGTAATTTGTTTTACAAACTTACCTCCTTGGATTGGCTTGATTTCATGATCAACCAGGTAAATTATGATTATATTCCAAAGATTATAAAATAATTATAGGCTACACAAGATAATGCATAGTAAGAAATGTTTGGTACCAAATCTAACATTGGTGCTTGGTGCAGATTAAAATTAGTCAGCTGTTTGTTGTTGGCACCATGTCCTATAATATACCATATACAGTTAGTCATTGGTGTTTGACACCATTGTCAAATTTAAATGGTAGGTCCATCTGGTCATTAGTGAGTTGACACCAGGTTTAATTGTAAATCCTTCTCAGTTACAGCTTCATAAGCAGAACATTTTCAGTCCCTTAATAAAGCTGTGCTTACTGTAGATGACATGTTATTAATATACATACTGTATGACCAAAAATGTAAATTTGGTATTTTAGAACAATCTGTCCATAGTGATTCTTTCTATTAATAATTTCAACTTAAAATCATGTGAATGTTATCAGAGTAAATGGAAAAGTGGCATTTTCCAATAACCTAGGTATGACAATTTCGGCTGTATTATTTTATTTGTATTTGTGTATTATGGACATTCTCTGTAGTTTTTTTAGGAAATCAGGAGTATTTTATTAGCAGCAGTGTTTTTTGCCTGAGGTTTTTACATTATGTATATACTATAGTGTGTGAGCGTGTGTGTGAGTTTTTTCCTTTATTTTTATTTAAATTTTAAAAATTGTGAAATTTAATATTTGATGTGAAGACTGCTGATTTTATTGTAATTTTATTTGATTTTGCAGAATAGTTTGAGTAGGTTACTGCAAGTGTCTTCATTTTAGGTCAAATATTTTTATTTTTTTTTCTGATTTGAAAACTTAAGAACTGTGAATTGAATTCAGGACATAATGTGTAAATCAATCTAGGTTGAATTGAAATGGAGTGGGGTTGTTAATTAGTGACAGATTTTCTTGTATATAATATGAAATACAACTAGAAACTATGGATCAACAGTTTTATATTGAATAGTAGCCCAAAATAGACACCGTCTGATTCTTCAATCACTAAAATTATGAATTTTAAGGCATGCTTATAACAACAACCCAGTTTATGACTGCAGTGGAGTTGAAAGGCTTGGTGGTTAAGATGCTTGCCTTCCAATCCCAGGGTCCTGGGTTCAAATCCTGTGGCAGCAGATTTTATCTCATGACTAAAAACAACGCCACTCCCTAAGCCTCGATACAAGACTTAGTTATTAAAGCATAACTGTGCCTTAGGGAAAACAGTAGGTATCTACTGAATTGAATTTTAAATTTTATGACATACTCATAACAACCCTTTTCATGAGGTTACCCTAACAATTCTGCTCATTATATGCTCATAGCATCCATTGCTTACTTGTTGCTCAGCAGTTTGACGACCATCAATCTCCATCCCCTTGCATCTTCTGCCTTTCTCTCGCATTCCCCATATTTCAACTTTTTCCAGTTTTTGGTGTTGCTTATGAAACTTATCCTTTGCCTACCTCTTCTTGTTTTTAACCTTTCAATTTCCCTCCAGAAAGTTCTCTTTGTCATCCATTTCTTCTTATTACTGTTTTGATTAAGTCATAACAACCATTGCTAATGACTTGATCATAACCAATTTCTTATAACTTGCTCATAATAACCCCTGTTCATGACATACTTATTATATAAGACTCACAATGCACAGGGCTTATGGCTTATGAATGCATACTAACTTGCTCATACCAAGTTAGTATGCTTATGACTTAATCATCTTTTTAGAAATTGCTCATTACAACCAGTACTTAGAACTTGCTCATAACAACTAGTGCTCATAGCAACCAGTGCTTATGACTTGCTCATAGCAGTTATAGTTCTCATTAGTTGCTCTTAACCCCTGCTCATAACAACCCCTCATTGGGACACTCTTATTTGAGCAAGTATTCAACTTGATTGTAACAAGCAGTTCTCATAAATTCATTACATGCTCGTAACTACTTGTGCTCATAACTCGTGCTTGCAACTACCTCTGCTCATAACAACCTGCATATGAAATGCTCACAACTACTTTGATGATATAAAATCAACTGTACTATTATATATACAGGTTAATGCATTGTCATATCGTTATTCCTAATGACATAAGTGTTCTCTTAATATATCTTCTTGTTGACGTCCTTGGTATTCAAATGCAAGTGTTAACCATCCGAACAGGTTTTTAGGTTGTAAAAAACAACTGATACAATATGCCTAGGCATTTACCATTCACCATCAATATAAACAATTTTATCTATTTATGATTCATGTGTGTTAATTTTAATCCCTTTCCCCTTACAACTTGACAGTGAACCTCTGTATATGTTGGTGTTCAAATCAACTACAACTGGACCTCATCCACTGAATCATGCCAAAATTACTTTTGTATTATATGCAAATTTGGTTGTACATTTTCAGTCAATTTTACGTTAATTTTTTTTTTCTTAAGGAGAAAGTTTCTGTTGATTAAACTAGATTTAGTTTCTAATACAGATCTAGATTAGTCTAGATTAGAATGATATTTTAGTTGGACACAATCCAAAAAAAAAAATAAATAAATAAAAGCCATATGAAATCAATCGCACAACTTATGACTTAAGTTGACATTGAATTACCTCATACCATTTTCTATAAAGTTGTTTACATTGTTAAAATTAGATATACTTGGAGGTGAACTGAGGTTGTGTTTGTGATCATGATTATTGCATCTCCGATTCGGTTAGCGTAGTGTTGGTATTACACCAGTCTAGCACTATATGAACAAACCAATGGATTCTTCAATACTGTTCACAATAATAAACAGATATAGGTATAAATGCTTGTTATCTGCGCAGGCCAGTGCTGGCGGCGGCGTCAGGGGAAATTTTCCTCCCATTGGACAGGCCTGGATCCCCTTTTCGTCCGATGCCACAACGGGTCATCAGATCTAAAATAAAAAAATAAATTTCCTATCCAGATAACATTATTTTATTTGCCAATCCTAAATATTGTGTTCTAAAAGCACAATTTGGACTAGACCTTGACCGAGGCTCTTGTTGGCCCTTGGCTCAGACCCCTCTGTCAGACATGTCGGTCTTTTGCCTGCAAAATTCAGATTTTTAGTGCTAACATTGTAATGATTCAGAAAGAAACAGCCTTGCCCCATTTCACAAGAGTATATCCTTGCTGAGCCACTAGGGCTCGTAGGGCTGCAGCTTATCCCCTTTTTTGGTGGCCTTGAAATATTTGAGTTGGAAATAATTAAACCAACTAATTAAGATAATTAGTCTCAAACTAGAATCACATGGTGCATTTATTTTGACCATTTATTATTAATAGTCTGCAAAATATACGAAAGATTTTCCTTGTATAACCTATTGCAAATGTATTACTTGATATATATAAAAAGATTTATATATGGAGGACATTATAATCTATTTCTTAAATGGTTAAGTCATGTTTTAATATTTGTACTAAACTTTGAAATATTAGGAACAGCAGAATAATGATCGCGCGGGTTTATTGTATTTCCATTATTGGACGTGTTTGTGTTGCTTAGTGTCTTAAGGTATAATCTTTATACATAGTTAATTGCTCTATTTGCAAATATTTCGAACATTTGAGACATCTGTACCCCTATAATATAGCTATGTGATTAAAAAAAAATCTTGAGTTGTTGATTCCAATGCTAATAAAACCAACTGTTACACAAAAAATGTCTCATTGTTTCTGTGTGATAACTAGTTTATTGGTTGGTTAATTGATTGATTGATTGATCGCTTGCTTTATTGATTCATTGTATTATTTAGAAAATATATATTTATCCAGGATGACAAAAATTCAAATTGGTTGTTCTTTTTTTTTATATACACAAAGAATACAGTTAAGTGAGATATAGGCTATAGTGCCATCGAAATAGCTTGCACAAACGACTTGTGTTCACCTACATCAAACGAAGTTGGTTGCAGTTCTGGACCATTAGGGAGCTTTCGATTTGTGCGACGACGCGACACTAGAACGGAGTCACTCATGCGTGACCGTCCTACCTGGCGTCCTACGTTCTCTGCTTACGTAGATTTGGACAAATTGCGTTCAAGAATCTACTCGACGAGGTGACCTTAACGTTCTCGCATGCGCAGATGACTTTTAGTGACGTAATTACGTTCTACGTCCTACGGTCGTCGTGCAATCGAAAGTTCCCTATTATTTGATCCATTTAAATAAGCAGTCAACTTTCTAAGCCCTATCCACACTATCAAATTTTATGTGACAAATTTGATATGCCCATATTTGGATGTAATATATGACATCATCATGCCCATAATGGGCACATCATACAAATCGAAGTTGTTGGCTTGGACTCCCAACCTTGAGGTCGGGGGTTGTTCGAAACGCTCGCTGTGTGCAATTCGCTTGTGTCCTTGGGCAAGGCACTTTACCTACAGTTGTCTCTCTCCACCCATGAGAATGAGTACAAGTGGGTACCTGGTAGGTTCAAACACAACCATGCGCTGATTACTACTGCAAAATTATGGAATTCTCCCATGGGGCCTGAATGTGTGTTCCATTATGTGCTTGATCCAGTGACCGGGGGTAATAATGTAAAGTGCATAGAGGGTCTACCGTGCGCTACGTAAGTCGATAATTATTATTATTATTATTATTATTATTATTATTATTATTATTATTATTATTATTATACAAATATTTCGCATAAACTTTGATAGTGTGGAGAGAGCGTTAGGTGTCCTCAGATTAAACACAAACATGTATCGTTTTTCATTGTATTGCCTTTTTATACTGTCGCAAATAAATTTAATAGAAGTTTTCGTGAAAAAAAAAAAATTATTACGTCAAGCCTGTAATAGGCCTAATTGAAATGGCACTGAAGAGCCAGATACGAAAGAATCTGTAAAACGACGTAGTACCTGCTTCTGAAGTATAAAATCTGAGAGAATCTGGGGAGGAATAACTTATAGTGGCCTCATTATTTGTGATATCCTACTTTTTGGATACTTCTCTTAACGTGTTCCGTCTTGCGACATTACGCTTTCCACAATTCGTTTCCATTTGTTTCTGTTCAAGGATATGGAAATATTAGAAGACAAATTAAGCCAAAATAAACCTAATATTATTTTAATCCGTTTGCTGGGCATTACTTATGAAAGTGTTCTTACCACGGTGTACTTATTTTTCCTACGGATCTGTTAATCATAAAGAACCAAGAAATTCTCGAAAATAAACTTTTTTTTTTAGATGAGTCAAGTGAAAATATTGTAGATCTTTCTTGCGTTTTGATGGGGAAATTTGTAGTCAGTGAAATACGAAACGTTGCAAATATCACTGACGGTTTGTTGGTGAACAGCGCTTACGTTACACTCGCGTGGTACAGATCTCCTAAATTAAAGTCAACGATTTATCATAAAATCGAGAAGTCCGTTTCTCTCTCTACTGAAGATTCATCACATTTGGTGACGTCAGGACCACAGACTTACACCATGCTTAAGCAAGCCAACATGCATGAAGAGTTGTGAGCTTGAAATTACCGAAAAATGTCATCTACAGTTACTTGGTATGTTCCTCTCATTCAATAACTTTTCAACTTTACATTTCCTTACATCTCCCTTTTCTGTCTTCAACTGAGCTTGCGCTTAAACTTAATTCTATGATGAGAGGGCGCTGTAAATCGACACTTCTACGGACGGAGAAATAATCAAGGAATATTATTGTCAACAATACAAAATAATGCAGTCGAAATTTGGATCCAGGTGTTTAAACAATGAGTTAAATATACATATAAATAAAAATTAATACATACTTTAAACTTACAAAATATAAAACTAACAAACAAAAAGAGCAATGTGTAAATATAGATAAAACATTAGGAATAAGAAAGTATAATACATACTCCAAGTATTGAAATACACGCCATCGTGTTGGGATTCAATATTTCGACATTAATTATGTCATCATCAGGAATGAAAAAATTATCCATATTATTTCCCCCGAAACTGGTCTATCCTATTGTTTAAAGAAGCGTTCGCTATACGTAGACTACACCCTTTGCTTAACAATGGGCTCAGAGCTTCAAAAAGAGCTTTCTTTGTTTTTGTAGGTATCTTTGATCATTGGAGTAAGAATGCTTTGATCTTTTGTTTAAATCACTGCTATGTCACCTACTAGAGGTAATGTTTTGATTGGTTAAACACTTTTGGTACTAGTGCATATAAGCTTGCTAATATGGATAATTTTTTCATTCCTGATGATGACATAATTAATGTCGAAATATTGAATCCCAACACGATGGCGTGTATTTCAATACTTGGAGTATGTACTATACTTTCTTACATTAGGAATACCTGTAAAAAGAGGGGATGACTGTTTTGATATGACTTAATTCTTTTATTTCTATACTTTTGATGTTCCTTTATAAATGTTAATGTATTTTAATTTAAGTATTTGTAAACTTTGCTGTATTGTTTTGGATGTACCTTCTATTGAGGAGGCGTGCCACTGATGAAAATGTGTAGCTCCAATAATAAATCAAATTATAAATAACACATCTTGGAAAGTTGATTTCATAATTGTATGAAATTTTCAATCTAAGTTTACCAAATTGAGTACCAATGTGAATATGCATATATATATGCATTAGTGTATGGTGGCTCAATGCCTTTTAGTACTATATAT